ACCTAGAAAATATTCAAAAAACTTATGGAAACCTATCTTGGGAGCTTGATGGAGATCCATCTAGGGAGTTACAACTTGAACTAGGGTTAAGAAGATGGAAGAAGAAGGACTATACTCTTGTGAAGATGGTTTTTCAAGCTTGTCTTACCCTTCTCTTAAGCCTTGTAAAAATGTACATATATCTTTCTTTAGGCCTTGTATTTGAGAGAGGACCTACCTATCTAGGGAGCTTAGTAAACGTTGACGATTTTGAAAATTTAACTGCATCCAACTCAGATGTTCAAAAAATACATGCCTAAATGAAAGTCATTTGAGTCTCTTTCAGACAAAAAAAAATAATCTCATTTAGAGTTATGTGGAGAAAGTTATGAGTAAATTAGTTAGCAAATGTCAGAGTTGCCAAAGTGTTGTAAATTGGGCTAGTTCTTGGGCAACTAGCATCAATTTGGGCCTCTGGAGTGGAGGGCACTTGTTTTGGGCTTGCTTAAGCCTTAAGATTCTTCTAGAAAGAGGAAGAAGGCTCCCATGCATTGTATCTAGTCAATTTCTAAGGAGAAGGCTCACATTCATTCCCCTTTTGTCATTAAAAGCTTCAAGAACCTTTTTAGTTCAATGTATCCTTCTTAGGTTCATGTACTTTTGTTCCTTCTTAAAGTCACTCCTTTACCTATAAAAGGAGTGTTCTACCACTTGTAAGAAAAACTTGGAAATATATGTTATAGAATTTATGCCAAAATACATCCTCTCTTCTTCTAAGTTCACTTAAGATAGTCTTCTATCAAGACTTCTCCTTACCTTTACTTGTTGGTTGGCCTCACCTCCTTCAAGAAGCATCTTAAAACCACTCTACACACAACATTTCCTTCATTAAATTATGGCTTCCGCTTATCTTTCTTCATCTCCATGGATAATTCATCAAGTTGCTTAAAGAGGTTTCCATAAAAAACTTTGTTTGTGATTGTAAGAAAAGTGCACCTAGTTGTGAGAATTGTCCAAAACATATAGAAAGAATCAAGTATTTGATAAAAAAACCTTTCAAAGTTTACCATAGGCAGCTTTAATCTTTATGAAATCTTTAGTTCTCAAAGAAGTATATTTTGTTACGAAAAGATCGTCTAGAGAGACTAGACTGTCTGACAACTCTAGTTTTGAAGTTTAACAAACAACAATTAACGAAATATCGTATAGTGAAGCATAACATTGAAGCGAAGCAGATATTTGAACATTCTTATTAGACGCTTGTAAGACAAACTATGACTTGTCAATTATAAGGCTAAACAATATTTGACAAAAATACGTCTAGTGAAAGTAGTAAACACTACATATATCTTATCAATTTATTCTACTTTGAATCATGCTTCAACTCTCTTTCAATGTATAGAACATTAAATGCATGAACGTATTATACCTTGACTGCTTTGCTTTCTCTTTCTTTATTTGTGCATATATTGACAATGCCAAGATTTACTCATAAGCACTGCACATGAATCAGAAAGAGGTTGTGAAATAGGATGACATTTTAGAATGTTTCCTAAAGCTTGATGTCCTACCATAGTCGTACAAGCTCTCACTATAAAAATAATGATGCTCTTCCGAAGGTGGAGAAAAGTACATATCTTTTGTATAAGAAGCCACCTACTATATTGAAGGTCAACTCTCTCTAAGTAACGCCCATCTCTCGAAGAAAGCTATATAAGGAGGACTCACACAAGAGAACAAAAGAACTTTTGCTATCATTGTATCGTTACGTTGTTATTCTCTTTATAAGCTTACATCGTTTGAGTATGTTCTTAGAACAAAATAAAATCATTTAAGTTACCAGATTTCATTGTACTGTACTTACCCTCTCTCTAAAAGTTACTCAAATCTTTACTTATAATCAAACACAAATGGTTTTTGTATATTTTAAAGAGAATTAAAATACTTGTATTGTTAATCTCAAGTGAGTTAAACGTTCTAGACAGTTGTCTAGGGTTGATACCAGGAGTGGTTAAATTCGGACTAGTCAAATAGCTTCATTGTCTCTGTCATTCCAAGTCTTGATCACAATCCTCCTACACCCGATTCTCCACATACTAAGATAATCCCACATAGGGCTCCAATGAATAGTTCACCTCCCCAAGACAATGGTGAATCTCCTACTTCAGATTACTTTCCCTCGTCACCTCCTCCCACTCCTCTTGGTGAAAATGATTCAGCATGGCCTATTGTCCTCAGAAAAGGTACTCGTTCCACTCGAAACCCTCATCTCATTTATAATTTTCTTCGTTATCGATGGTCGCCCTCCTATTTTTCTCTTTTATCCTTAGCGTCTTCTATTGTTATACTCAAGAATGTTAAAGAAGCACTTGATCATCGTGGATGGCGACAAGCTATGATTGCAGAAATGTGTTAAGCAGTTAAGCAGACCATTCGGTTTTTTACTTTCATTCTTCTCTTGAGAAATGTGTTTACTTAATAGTATATGTTGATGATATTGTCATTACAGGAAATGATGTTGTTGGAATATCTCCTCTAAAAGAGTACTTGTGTAGACATTTTCAAACCAAGGATCTTGGAAGTCTCAAATACTTCTTAGGCATTGAAGTAGCGCAATCAAAAGATGGAGTTGTAATCTCCCAAAGGAAGTATGCTCTTGATATATTACAAGAAACAAACATGATTGATTGCAGACTAATAGACAGTCTCATGGACCCAAACCAGAAATTAAGGACAGAAGAAGGTGAATTATTCTCCAATCTAGAGAGGTATAGGAGGCTAGTTGGAAAACTGATTTATCTCACTATTACAAGGCCAGATCTATCCTTTGCAGTTAGAGTGGTTAGTCAGTTCATGTAGGCTCTAAGTGTTTACCATTGGAATGCTTTCATTCGCATTCTAAGGTATGTTAAAAAGGCTCTCAATCAAGGATTGTTATATGAAGATAAAGGAAGCATTCAAGTATCTAAGTATTGTGATGCAGATTGGGTAGGTTCTCCTATTGATAGACAGTCTACTACATGATATTGTGTTTTTCTGGGAGGAAACATTATTTCATAGAAAAGTAAGAAACATAATGTAGTAGCTCAATCAATAGTTGAAGCCGAGTATAGGGCAATGTCAACACTAACATGTGAACTTATATGGGTGAAACAATTCCTTCAAGAGCTTAAATTATGTGACATCCATACTATGAAGATGTATTGCGACAATCAAGCTACTCTCCACATTATTACATCAAATCTAGTGTTTCATGAGATGACTAAACATATAGAAATTGATTGTCATTTTGTTCGTGAAAATTTGTTGACTAAAGAAATATGTATTGGGTTTATTAAGTCAAACGATCAACTCACATATATATTGACCAAGTCATTAAGGGGTCCTCGGATTGAGTTTATTTGTTCCAAGCTTGGTACATACAATTTGTATGATCTAGCTTGAGGGGGAGTGCTATGATATTTACTCTATTTATCATCATTATATTGTGTCAAGGATTACCCTATTTATCATAATTATATTATGTCTAGGGTTACCATAATTATCATGTACTATTGTATCAATTTATTCTTATAAATAGAAGATTATAAGAGAAATCAATAAAATCTCTAAAATTACTTTACAGTTTAATTCTCAAGTCATCTCTCTTTTATAATATAAAATTCCAACAATAGGTAAAAGAAATTGTTGTCCACAAATTTATTGACCAAATTCAACTATTGATAATTGTAATGATAAGATACCAACAAAACTTTTCGTTAAATTTTGCAAACTCATTTTGTTCTGACCAAAGTATTATCAACAAAATTTGAATATAAAATTTGTCAACAACATCAATAAATTACAACTTACCGACTAATTGTTCACCATTAGTAATATTTTGTAAATAATAATCCAAATTATATAATGTTTTTGTATATGATTTTATAGTTGTGAAGGTAGATTTTGATTTTAGGTATGGCGGAGTTGTACAGGTATTAATTTTCTATCAATGTCATTCATTTATAACATAAAACTTATTATTAATATAAAATATGTATTAATTTTCTGCGTTAAGATAATAAAATGATGAACATTCTTACCAATGTGTTAAAGATGATAACTCGATGAGCATTCTTACCAACATTTATAATAATACTTGCTTAAGATCAATCTCGAAACTTACATATTAGATTGGAACTCACAAAATATCCTTTGAATTTGAAGAAATAACCGTTGCATGTTTATCTAATTTTGAAGAAATAATATGCAATCTACCACCATATATTATTATTATTTAATTATATTTTATCATTATATTTAATTTCACAGACTATTTTTAATTTTAGAAAAAATTTATATCAACGTCTCGTGTCATTTCATGTCATATAAAATTAAACTAAAATAAAATAAGATTAAAGCTTCTGTCCACAAGGTTTTAAATATATTTGGATCCATGAATCCTACCAATTTCAAGTTTTGACCCGTGCAATATATGTCAATGTAACTTTCAAATGTTTTGATTCTAGTTGTTTTCATTATTATTTTTTCTTATAAAATTTCTTAACAGAAAGTGATGACAAAGAATACAATCAAAACGCTAAAAAATAGAGTAGAGAAAAACTAAGAAATGGTTTAGGAAATACGAGTGAAAGAGTGATTCATATTTTTTACATATAAAAATAGAAATGCTTTACATTTTAGATTTATTTCAATTATACTTTATGAAAATTAGTGAGAAATAAAAGTTACAGATTAATGATAAAAAAAAAATAGAACTGGAAAGGAAAGAGCAATCCAATCTCGATTATTTCTAGAGCAGGCAAATAGCACAAAGCAAACCTCAAAATATAAATAATAAGTTACAAAAGTAATTACCATTTTCACTAAATTAAGCTTTTAATATACATAAATATAGCTCAAAAAAATACATCAAACTCTTGATTAAACTTTGCACCTTGTGGCTCGGTGTTCACACCCTTCATATACCTCTAAACCAGGTTGATCCAATTGAGAATCTTCAAAGCATGCACAACGCTTGCTCATCTTCCCTGTCAAAGCAATCTCTAATGGTCTCTGTACCAATCTAGGGTAACCAACATCGCACCATACCTAATCCAAATAAGCAAATCTGTGTCAAAATAACTTGAAAACAATCTGCATTAATGTGGCTATGGTGATGAAGGGTTAACCAGAAAACATGATTGCAAACAATTTAAGTGGCAACAATTTGTCTTTGTCTAATACATCATTGGCCTATTTGTACTTTTCCTGAACTTAATATTAACTAATGTACCTCAGCTTTTTGAAGAAATTAAATGAAAAGATCTAGTTAGCATAAAAGTTAAATATACAAAGGTAGTTTTAGCTATTGTGAGAAGCTCAATTAATTTTGGACATGTTTGGATAAACTTTTCTATAGATACAGGTAGGAATAGAAAATAAAAAATAAAATAAAATTTATGACAAGTTTAAACATAAGTTAATAATCAAATTTGGAGAAACTAATAAAGAGAGTTTCCACAAATTAGGCTATGCATAGACGAACATTAATTTGTAGAGAAACATGCAGCATATAAGGACACATTTTTTTAACACATTCAACAAACTTCACCAAGCTAAACTTTGACCAATTGCTTCCTTGGTCTTATTCTTACCAATTTAGCATTTGACATACTACTTTTTTTAATAAATAACACATTTGAGTTTATTCCTGCATAATCAAAGCTAATCAAATTTATCAACTCCATGTAATTTATACATAAAATTTTCCTCTATTCCATGAAGTTTATTGTCATATTCATTTATTTCCCACTTAATTTTAAGTTGCTAATTCAAGTAGTTTGGATGTAAAAAATCACCAACACAAAGAGTAACTGGACAATCCAAGAAATCAAAACATAGTAAGAAAACCATGATTCACCAGCAATCTGTTCATATATGATTTTTTTAGTTGTTATAAGAAGAAACAAAATATAGAAAGAGTGATTAAAAATAATGACAACAGTGCATACCTCACCACCCTCGTCTTGACTCCATCTCGAATTGCACGATGGTTGTTTAGCCTCTTCAATTTTCTGCTTTTCTAGAAGCTGTGCACCTCTAGCAGCCTTGGTTTCCACCCCTTTCAAATATTTAGTAGGATTCCCTTGGCTGTCATAGTATCGGCCAACTAGCTTGCCAACATACCTATAAAAGTAAGTATGAAAAATAACTGTTAAGCACTAAAGGAATATGCTGTGATAAAAACAGGAAGATGCATGTTAGGAAGGAGATCATGTTTCTAATGTAAGTTCCTGTTAGAGAATCAGAGTAAATGTAAAAAATACAGTGAAGCCACCCAAACACCACATTGTATGAAATGGAAAACCCACTAAAATAGCACTAGAGAACAAAGAAGAGAGTGATAGCAATTCAGGCCCAAATGAAGAAACCAACACTATCAACCAGGCCAGTGCGGTGGCTGACCCAATGATGTCAACAAGGCTTTGTAAGATGCCAAGATATTTAGCTGATTTCAAGCTTTGATAAGTGGGGGTATGGGTGAGGGAATATTTATGTATGACGAGTAAGGACTTTAGTGGGTTTGTTATGGGTTTGTTATTAACCATGTTTCTGTTATATAATTGCTAGTATTGAATGAATGAAAAAAAAAAAAAGTTTCCTCATTTCTCTATCACCAGTTCTACAGGAGGATCCTTATCCTCGAATCAAGGCTATTTTGCCTATCATTTTAGTTCTCTCGTTGTCCCTTCCTATTTCCCTTTCCTTTTTTCCATTTTTTTCCATGTCAGATCATAACACCCATTCCAAATCCATCACCAATTTGGAAGAAGTTGTTCTCAAACTCACCGTTAACCAAAATGAAATTACTACCCATTTGGACGCCATTGTTTCTCAGCTTTCTAGTCGCGACACACCCTCTCCACATTCACACCATACCTCCGTTTGGATGTGTTAGGATATTTACCATATTTATCATGATTATATTGTCTCAAGAGTTATCCTATTTATTATTATTATATTGTGTCTAGGGTTACCCTATTGTACTCGTATAGTTTATTCTTATAAATAAAATTTTTTTGAGATAGATCAATCAAGCCTTCTAGAATTATTTTACAGTTTAATTCTCAATTGTCTCGTAGCATCTGTCCGGTGACCAGTATCGTTTGTCGTTGTTCGCGGTTATCCTCTTCAACATTGTCAGCCACTGTTCTTCACTGTCCGTCACTATCAACCACTCTTCTTGTTATAATTTTGTGACTCAAACAACATGTGGTTGAAGGAATCAAATCAGTTAAATAAAAATATATTCCTATCCTATTTCTTAGGAGGATTTTATGCAATATTTAATTAATTAGTTTAGTAGATATTTCCCAAAGTCGGTTACAAATTCTATAGTATAAATATTGGTTTAAACCCTCGGATAGTCCTCATATTTGTAGGAGAATCTCAAGTGGGTCCTCTTGTTGAAAACGGTCTTAATTGGGTCGTAAATTTTGAAAAATTGAGCGAATTAAGCCCTTTTCGTTAAGTGGTGACAGACGGCGTTAAAATTTGGTGAAGTGGTGCACACTTAATATGCTGAAGTAAAACTATTATATTACAGTAAAACTATTATATTACAGTAAAACTATCATATTACAGTAAAACTATTATATTACGTGGATTTTTTTAAATTATGACTTGTAATGATAATTTTAAATTATTCTAATTAGGTAATGCAATTAAATTCCCCTAACATTAATTATCCCAATTAGCTTTCGAAAAAAACTAATTCACCTAATAACTCTAGTCAGAAACACATTTTCCCCAAATTTAGCTTTCTCTTCTTCGCCAACAAACCCCAGCATCAGAAAATGTAAACCAATGGCCATGGAAGTTGACCGAGAGAAAACAAGGCTCGTGGAGGAAGATTTGTGGTTTGGCTTTCGCGATTTGGATTCGCGCAAGTTTGATTGTGGTTTTGAATCGAAGATGGTCGACGATGGAGTTGAATGGAGGTTTCGCGGCGGGGCGATTTAGGCTTTAGGATTTTTATGGCGCGATTTAGGTTTTAGGGTTTCCTCAACATGGCAAAATTTAATTGGTTTTTGAAGTGTGAAGAAACCCATTCGACGGTGCTGATGAGTTGTTGGAGACGGTCCAGTGGGTTATCAGGGTCACGTGCAGCGACAAAACCCATTCACTTTGTTTTTGACAGAGAGTGAATTGCAACCAGGATATGTTTGTGTATTTGAACTGATTAGCAAAGCGGATTGTGTTTTTAAAGTTCATGTTTTCAAAAGGGATCAATGATTTCCCTACATGAAGTTGAGTTCTTGCTGAAGAATTTGTAGAAAAATGTAGTAAAGAAGCAAGGTTACTGTAATGGGGTGTTCCAAGCTTTTAGAGAGTTAAACAGTGTTCCTGTTATTGAATGAGCTATGACAAAGTGACATGAAACTTAAATTTTCTATTTTTATTGAAATATAGCACTGCATTAGGTGATTTATGATTGCTGTTATTTAAAATATTTTAAGAAAGAATTGAGGTAAACAAGATGGTGTTTACCAAAGTTAGGATGAGAGTGCATTAGAGCTTGAGCTAGAGCAGTTGATTGATGAAACAGCTCAGCAGGTGTTGTTATCTATTGAAATCAAAACTCTGACTTGATGGATTAAGGATTGAATAACAAAAAATATATTTTAAAAAGGGATTATTTAATAGAGGGGTTATCCAGGAGAGGTTTAAAGGTGGGTGATGAAATTAAATAAGTCGTTAAAAAAACTCATAAATGAGCTATTAATTTTTGAAAGGTAACATTTTTTTGAATGTTGTGATTGATTCAATTTTAACGGTTAAGGTTTTAAGGATTTGCATTAATCAAAGACAAAAGATAAATAAACCAAATGGTGAAAAGGACCTAGACATCCTTATCGCATATGGGAAAATCAACAAGAGTTTGAACTAAAACGTGCACAAAAAAGTCCAAAAGAGGGCTAAAATTTCATGCGTGCAAGACCCATAACCCTTGCTACCCACTTTAAAGGTATATGGAGAATCTTTGTATATAAACTCTTGGAAAGAGAGGAAACTAGGCAATGTGGAACTTGGTGCCTTTTGGAATACTCAAAACATAACGACCCTTCTTCCAAAAAGACCACAAGCTTTACACCCAAGTATGCTTATTCTGATAATAATTTGTTAGTTAATTATAACAAAAATTCAACTACACATTAATTGATCTATTGAAATAATCTAATTTCCGTAGCTGTCTCAAACACACCCTTAATCCTTCCTAAAGAAGATGCTCATTCATTGAGTTCCAATATATGCACCAACAGAAAGCACAAATAGCACAAAGTCAAAAAATTTTTGGTTTCTTTAGTTCCACAAGCTAGCATAACTGATCATCAAAAACTAACCTACAACACACCCAACACTCTAGATGCTAAACAATGAGTTACATAAAGAAATAGCAATAAAACAATGCAAAAACATATTCAGAACATACACTACTGGGTAGTGATTCGTATAATATCATTGCTATGAATATGATTAAAACCTACACAAAATTAAAAGTTATGACAATGTTCTCTAAGTCCAAAACACATTGTATGACCAAAAGTTTAGGATCTAAAGTAGTCAATCATTTTCCAAAGGAAAACATCAATTTGACAAAATAAAGGTGCATAATGGATGCATTCCAAAATATTCATGACTTTAACCAACTACTTAAAAGTTAGCTAAAGCAAAATAACAGATGTCAGAAAATATGACTTACTTATAAGATTTATGGTAGAAATCCCTCCATTCGACAATACTCTTCACCTGCATGAACAATTTAATTTAGGGTTAAGGTTTACACTTGTAAACAAAATGTTACATCAATATATTGGACAATCAAATGTATGCAAGTTCACAAAATATAGAAGAAGAAGCTACAAATTCAAGGAGGAGACAAGAAGGGCAAATAAATTTGTTAGGCCATGCTTCCTATGAAATCTTGACGAAAACAAAATAAGAAGTGAACAAATCATATTGATTACAACCTCAATGCTAGATAGACCGCGCAGTGAGTCAGTGAGACCATCTCCTACAGGAGATAAAGAAAAACAAAATATGAAAGAGTTAAGAGGCATGCTAGAATGATTAAAGAATTTTTTTTCTTTCTACAAACAGAATTATAGACAAAATTTAATTTTGCTAACATTTTCTCTTCTATATTTCTTCCTCTCAAATTCTAAAGCATTACGTGTACTTATTTATCTAACACTGCTCTTTGTCATCAATAAAAATTCTCTTTACTGTCAAAAACAGAAGTATTTGATCAATTTTAGGGTGAATAGTATAGATGACCTCTAAGGTTGGCAAAATACAATACAAGATATGATAAAAACATATCTAAAGGATGATCATGTGGCATGATTTCTAGAATGGTGAAGAGGAGCAAGCCCACAATCAAATAAAAAACAAAAGAGAACTCTGAAATTCAAGAATGGCCATATTCTTCAAGCACATGCAAATATCAAAAAAATCAACTGCAATTTAAAGCAATAAGAACATGAGAGATGTGAAACCCGTTTCGTGTACAACATATAAATTTGAAACAAATAAAAATGCATAACTGTGAAACACACATATCTGAGAAGGCTTTCAAAATATAAACCAAATGAAACACATATATTGAGCATCTTAACAAACTCTCTCATCCCTCAATAAAGAAAAAACAGTTCTCATTGGTCGTGGTTGACAGTCCCAAATTCTGGATTATTCCCTCACATTAAGAAACACCAACCAGAACAACTAACAGAACTCATTTACCTGTGAAATTTCCAGACACAAATGCACGAGAAGCATCCCTGAATTCTCATGCCAAAAAGGGAACGAAAGAGAAAGGGAAGGAACAAGTTGCGGTCAGTTCTCACAATTCCGAGCACCACAACAACAACAAAAATTTTGGATGAGAAAAGGGTTCAAAGAACATACCTTCCAGCAAAATGATTGTAGCCCCCTCCTGACCCATAATGAGATTTTCCCTTGGTTACATCAAAAACAGATCTATAAAAACAATAATAAAAGGTATTAATATATCAGCCCTAACACTCTAAAGAAACATCACAATTTCAAATTATCTCATTCAATGAATTGAGAGAGAGAATACCCAAGAATTCCCAGGAGGATTGGCAACCCCTCGTCAGATCCATTGAACAATGCAAGCTCTTCGCCACTGAACAATCTCTACGAAACAAAAACGCAGAGTCAAAATCGTTGACTTCATCATCCATACATGAATAAAAATTAATTAAAAATTGAAAAAATAAACATAGGGTCTTTTATGACCCAAATGCACAAACGACACACAAAAATAAAAACCCAGAACCTAAATTTTTTAAGGTTAACAGAAATAACCTCAGCAGTGTCGAATTTGGTGTAAAACCTGAGAAGGAAAGCGAGGACAACGACCAAAACAGTGATCCCCGAAAGAGGAGAGGTTGCTAATGCCTTCAACGACATATTCAGTTCAGTCTTAGAAACAGAGGAGTCTTCTGAAACAATAAAGAAGACAAAAGTCTGTGGAAATTATTTGAAGATTATATGTTTTCTGATGTTACAATTAAATCGAAATACAACAAAAAGATGTATGGGAAAGAAATAAATTAAAATTAAATTTTATTGTGTTGATTTTTGTGATGGAATTAAATATAACATTTAACTATATCTATAGTATTAGATATATTTTATATTTTCGTTTTTGGTGTTTACACTTTTACACTTTAACTTTTAAAATTAAAATAATTATTTTATTAATTTAAATCTTTATCAAATTTATCTACCTTTTTTCTGAATTTATTTATTTTTTTCAATTTGAACATTTTTTTAAATTTAATCAATCTTTCAAAGTGTCTTTTCGTATGGTTTGTCTAGGGGATGGGTGAGACACAAATTTGCTATTGTGAGGAAGTTACAGTGTTAAGAGTGACTAAAACTAAGAATTTTAGAAAACAATTTTCAGATTGTCTTAACTACAAGGTATAATGTATGGTTTTAATTTTCATTCAGGTATATATTTTTGGTGTTAACAAGTTTTTGTTGTTAATGAAATCTTTGTTTTTTTTTTGGATTTTATGAACAGTTGAGTGGAAATGAAGATTTTCAAGGGTACAATTACTTCAAAAGTTACAACGAAGATAATTTGGAAAAATCTCTTATGGTTATGGGTTAACTTATTAATATGGATTTTATGTTCTTGGAGTTGATTACTATTATCATTGTTTGTATATTGTTTAAAATTCCATGAGATTAGCAAACTATGTAGTTTATGGGTTGTAGTGAGTGTGATGAACCTGGGTGTATGTTTTTCATGTGATGTTATTAAATAAATCAAAGTTTTTTGAAATATACAGAAAAGCATAGAAGTAAAATTATTCTGCAAATACACATAATAATAATTTCCCAATACATTTGAACAGAGAACATTATTTTTCAAAGGACGTTGGCTACTAAGATATAAAGGTACATATCGTAAGCAATATAAAGTGCACAATGCCGTATTGAAGAAGTTCCTAATTATATGCCTTCCAAAATAAGCCAAAATATGTACATAAATAATATTTCATGACTTTCAAATTGAGCCCCTCTTATATGACAATTTCTCTATAATGTAGCAGGTGGTTTATCCTTGGATAGCTCTTCGTCTAAAGCTGTCATCACACAGGTTGTGAATAATTTTATTGTTGCACGACACATAGCTTCTTCTAATTATACATTTCTATTGAAAGTCATTATTTGAGGTAGACATGGGGATACATTTACCCCTTCTGCAGTGCTTTAAAGAGATGCGTCCAATGGCATTATGATTTGCCAAGTAGGCAACATTAGAATCATCAAAATGATAAGTTCTATTTGTTCAAGACTGCATATTCTAAGAAGAGTGAGTTCTATTCGTTTAACACAAGAGTTATAGAGTGAAATCAACACAAAATGATTTTATGTTGGTTTGAATTAAAAGATTCTACGTTTAATCGTGTGATTAACCTTTTCACTAAAATGTTGTTTCAAATTACAAACACATTATACAAATAATAGGAAATAAAAAAACACTTTCCTTTGACACACGATGGAAGAACACAACTCAATCAACTTGAAGAGAATTGCTTCGACTTTAGACACACTAAATGCAAGTTTCTCCTTTTCACAATACTTGATTTGAGCACTCTAAAACTTGAGAACTTTCTCAAAATTCTTCTGTATTCTCAAATGGATTAGTTCCCTTTCACATACAGAGAGTTTCCCTTAGGCACACAAGTTTAATACTCTTAAATGAAAATTTAAGTTCTAAGAGTTGTGGAGAACTCTATTTATAAGCCAAGGTTCGTGCAAGGTCAGAAACTGAAAAGGTAGCTCCCAATTGCCAGTTAGAGCTCTCAAAACGGGTAACCCGGCCCGACCCAACCCGACCCACCACGAGTTGGTCACTTAGTGAGCCAACCCAACCTAACTCATTTATNGGATTGAATAACAAAAAATATATTTTAAAAAGGGATTATTTAATAGAGGGGTTATCCAGGAGAGGTTTAAAGGTGGGTGATGAAATTAAATAAGTCGTTAAAAAAACTCATAAATGAGCTATTAATTTTTGAAAGGTAACATTTTTTTGAATGTTGTGATTGATTCAATTTTAACGGTTAAGGTTTTAAGGATTTGCATTAATCAAAGACAAAAGATAAATAAACCAAATGGTGAAAAGGACCTAGACATCCTTATCGCATATGGGAAAATCAACAAGAGTTTGAACTAAAACGTGCACAAAAAAGTCCAAAAGAGGGCTAAAATTTCATGCGTGCAAGACCCATAACCCTTGCTACCCACTTTAAAGGTATATGGAGAATCTTTGTATATAAACTCTTGGAAAGAGAGGAAACTAGGCAATGTGGAACTTGGTGCCTTTTGGAATACTCAAAACATAACGACCCTTCTTCCAAAAAGACCACAAGCTTTACACCCAAGTATGCTTATTCTGATAATAATTTGTTAGTTAATTATAACAAAAATTCAACTACACATTAATTGATCTATTGAAATAATCTAATTTCCGTAGCTGTCTCAAACACACCCTTAATCCTTCCTAAAGAAGATGCTCATTCATTGAGTTCCAATATATGCACCAACAAAAAGCACAAATAGCACAAAGTCAAAAAATTTTTGGTTTCTTTAGTTCCACAAGCTAGCATAACTGATCATCAAAAACTAACCTACAACACACCCAACACTCTAGATGCTAAACAATGAGTTACATAAAGAAATAGCAATAAAACAATGCAAAAACATATTCAGAACATACACTACTGGGTAGTGATTCGTATAATATCATTGCTATGAATATGATTAAAACCTACACAAAATTAAAAGTTATGACAATGTTCTCTAAGTCCAAAACACATTGTATGACCAAAAGTTTAGGATCTAAAGTAGTCAATCATTTTCCAAAGGAAAACATCAATTTGACAAAATAAAGGTGCATAATGGATGCATTCCAAAATATTCATGACTTTAACCAACTACTTAAAAGTTAGCTAAAGCAAAATAACAGATGTCAGAAAATATGACTTACTTATAAGATTTATGGTAGAAATCCCTCCATTCGACAATACTCTTCACCTGCATGAACAATTTAATTTAGGGTTAAGGTTTACACTTGTAAACAAAATGTTACATCAATATATTGGACAATCAAATGTATGCAAGTTCACAAAATATAGAAGAAGAAGCTACAAATTCAAGGAGGAGACAAGAAGGGCAAATAAATTTGTTAGGCCATGCTTCCTATGAAATCTTGACGAAAACAAAATAAGAAGTGAACAAATCATATTGATTACAACCTCAATGCTAGATAGACCGCGCAGTGAGTCAGTGAGACCATCTCCTACAGGAGATAAAGAAAAACAAAATATGAAAGAGTTAAGAGGCATGCTAGAATGATTAAAGAATTTTTTTTCTTTCTACAAACAGAATTATAGACAAAATTTAATTTTGCTAACATTTTCTCTTCTATATTTCTTCCTCTCAAATTCTAAAGCATTACGTGTACTTATTTATCTAACACTGCTCTTTGTCATCAATAAAAATTCTCTTTACTGTCAAAAACAGAAGTATTTGATCAATTTTAGGGTGAATAGTATAGATGACCTCTAAGGTTGGCAAAATACAATACAAGATATGATAAAAACATATCTAAAGGATGATCATGTGGCATGATTTCTAGAATGGTGAAGAGGAGCAAGACCACAATCAAATAAAAAACAAAAGAGAACTCTGAAATTCAAGAATGGCCATATTCTTCAAGCACATGCAAATATCAAAAAAATCAACTGCAATTTAAAGCAATAAGAACATAAGAGATGTGAAACCCGTTTCGTGTACAACATATAAATTTGAAACAAATAAAAATGCATAACTGTGAAACACACATATCTGAGAAGGCTTTCAAAATATAAACCAAATGAAACACATATATTGAGCATCTTAACAAACTCTCTCATCCCTCAATAAAGAAAAAACAGTTCTCATTGGTCGTGGTTGACAGTCCCAAATTCTGGATTATTCCCTCACATTAAGAAACACCAACCAGAACAACTAACAGAACTCATTTACCTGTGAAATTTCCAGACACAAATGCACGAGAAGCATCCCTGAATTCTCATGCCAAAAAGGGAACGAAAGAGAAAGGGAAGGAACAAGTTGCGGTCAGTTCTCACAATTCCGAGCACCACAACAACAACAAAAATTTTGGATGAGAAAAGGGTTCAAAGAACATACCTTCCAGCAAAATGATTGTAGCCCCCTCCTGACCCATAATGAGATTTTCCCTTGGTTACATCAAAAACAGATCTATAAAAACAATAATAAAAGGTATTAATA